GCAGAAACACATGCATAGATACACATACTGGTTCACCCCAAGGATACAGGATACAGGCTACTTTAAATTCAACGTGTGCCGTGTCTCAAACAATTTCTTTATGAATATAAATACGCTTTATCGATTTTTGTTTTTGTTTTTCTTTTTGTTTTTTTCTTGTCGTCGCCGCAGCCATTTTGTAATTTGTTGTCGTCTTCTTAAAGTCGGTTGCACAATTTAAGCACACAATTTTCACAAGAGTTCATTTTCATGGCAAATCTCTCTCTTTTTGTTTGGCATAATTGCGCACATATGTCAAAGATACAAAGATCCTCACTTGCAATTGCAAAACACCCCATAAATTGTATGTGGGTGGAGATGTGGGTTGCTTGACTGGACCAATGATAATCACCGCCCTCCCCCCCACATTGGCAACGCCCACTTTTAGTTTTGGAGTGCAGCAAAAGGACATGGCAAAAACTGCCCATATATCAATCCAGCAAGACATGTGTCTCTCTCCCAATCTCCCATTCTCTTTCCTTCTCTCTCTCTCTCTCTCTCTCTCTCTCTGTGTCTGGCACTGATTTCGTTTATATAAATTATAATGTCATTATGGCAACCAGCCACACCCCCTCCCCACTTCCTTCCCCTTCTCTCCTTTGCTCCTTAGTATCCACTCTGTGTATCTGTATCTCCGGCAACCGCAATTACGTCGCAATGGAAAACTTTCTTTGTGGAATGGTTTCTTTTTGCTGAGACTCCGTCGTTTTTCGCCACTGTCCGCCTCTTTCTCATTATCCGGTATCGTGCAATTTCCTAAAAATGTCGCATTAGAGATTATCTGTGTGGAAACAAACACACACACACACACATAAGCACACACACTGACTGTGTGTGTCCTGTGGCCAAATGACCCAACTGGACATCAACTGGAGCCAAAAAATTTGAGCTGACAGTCGAGAAAATTACGGAAAAAGGCATTGCAGTGGAAAACTACAACCAAACTGAAGCCAACATCTGAACTGAGCTCAACTGAACAGCAGCAGCAGTAGACAACGACAACGACAACGAAGTACGACAGTTTTTGGGGTCCGGTCTTGGTCTTATCCTTATCTGCAGGACGACGGCTAATGAGCTCGACTGCCTGACTCTGCCTGACTCTGCCGGACTTGCTGCTTGTCTGGGAGGGTTGCTTGGATTGCTTTTTGTGGTTTCGGGGGGGCCATGTCAATGTTATTGCAGTGATTTCTATGTGCACACTTGGAAAAAACAAAGCCCTCAATTTTTAAAAATCGCCTGAAAACTAGAAAGTTTTTCTGGTTTTTAGAAATCATTTTTAACTATAAGAAAATATTTTTCTATAAATTCGAAAGGCTGGCCTTAAATAGACTATCCCAAAAATGTGTTAAGACTTTAATTTTAAATATTTTATATCTTAAAATACACATGTTGAATAGTAATATAACTAACAAAAAAAAATATATATCAGAACTCATTATATCGGTATAAGTATATAGAATTTCAAAAATTCAGCTCGATTTTTTCAGAGTGTATTTGTGTGTGTGTGTGTGTGTGAGAGAGTTGTAGTTGTCCAGGCCAAGCTCATTATATGGCCATAATGTATGTATGTCCTGCTTGGCCATTGTCATTGTCTGGCAACTGTAAAGGATTAACTTAGTAGATTGTTGTTGCTGCTAGCACAAATAGCGCATAAAAAATTAAGTTTTTCCTCCTTTAACTAATTTTTACAACATTCTAAGCTAATTTCTAGTTGGGGGAATCTCAGCAAACGGAAACAATGTCAACATATGGTATAAAAATAAATAGAATAAGAAAACCTGTCGCATATTAACACTTTCTGTGCAGCAAATGTAGCGTGAAATTGGAAAAATATATACGTATAAATGTTTATATAGATATATATATATATTTGTATTATCAGAAGCGACCGCAACGTTTAACCCTTTTATAACTCAACCCCACAAAAACCGAGTGGTTTAATTTTGGAGAACAATGAAAGCAACTAACTTGTCAGAAAAGGGCTAGCCAAAAGGACAATTCCGATTTGTGTGTGTGTGTGTTGTGTGTATGCTTCTGTGTGTGTTTGTCTGTGCAGTCCAATCCCAATTCAACTGTCACATTAATCGTTTGTTTTTGGTCACGAAAATGATACAAGCAAACGTTGCTTCGCATTTTTCCTCCTCGTCGATTCTCTGGTTATTTTTATTTATTTTTTTTTTTGTGTGTCAAAGGACTCGCTCTCGGGGCGTACGTTTTGTCCAGCTTCCCTTGATCCTTTTGTCTGTGCGATTGTTTGTTTGTTTTGGTCTTGGGTCCTTGGTCCTTGGGCTGTGTATCCTGTAACCGTAAGGCTTGACAGTGCACAGGCTGGATAATTTATAGCTGCCTTTGCCGTGTCGTGTGTCAAAGTTTTTCCCAACAAAAAAATGTGTATACGTGTGTGTGTGTGTGTGTGTGTGTGAGTGTGTGTGTGTGTGTGTGGAGAAAATGTTTATGAATGAATCCGACAAATGGGCAAATGTATATGGCATATATAAAAATCAAAATCATTGCTATGGGCAAACATTTATTTCTCATTTCGTGTGCAGTTTCATATTTGCAGCATGATTAATAGTGTTGCGCCCTTAGTTAGGGGTTGCATATTGACTTTTGTTCTTTTGTTTACTCACGAGTCAGCCAAAAAAAGCATCATTTATATATATATATATATTGTTTGCTTTGGCAAGAAAAAAAAATGGAGAACAATGTTGAAATTGACGCTGACACTTGTTGTCACACAGCTCTTCGACTTGACATGGCCGAAATAATGTGTGTGTGCTGGGCAACGCCCACTTGGCCAGCAATTCTTTCGATTGACACTTGCCACTCACAGGAGCCTTGAAAAAGCATTGTGGGAACTCTGGCTAAATAACAGCAACAACTGCGACAACAACTGGCGGCAACAACTGCTGTCAACAACTGGCCAGCCAGCCACCAGCGGCTGACAGACGACAACGTTTTCAATATTATTTTTTTTGTGAAGAAGAAACGAAAAATCAAATTCAAATTAGTCGTGGAAATTTGTACGAAATATTTAAACAAATAAAAATCGCTGCGGTACGTGCTTTTCTTGGCGTTTTTTAGACCGTGTCGTTAAGAAAATATTTTTACATTTCCCCACTCGTTGCAAGAGGGGTGTGGGGGATGAGGGGACTACAGATGACGCTGGCGACCCATTTAACGGCACATGCTCAGGTTGAAAATTGGGCACAACATGAAAAACATAGCATCGACTATTAAAAAGCGTTTTGGTATTTTGGAAGGGCGGACGATATCATTAAAAAACCAAAACAAAACACTAGCTAAAAGACGACTGCATCTTGCTACCCATTGAGTAATCACAATATATATACTATAGCTACGATTGTGAAAATATATTTAAAAAATATGTATATATATATAAAATATATCACAATTATCTTTAACGCAGCATCAAAAATATTATATATGAGTTTCCATTTGCTGAATACATTTGTCAAAATATTTAAAACACTTTGTTTTGTGTCGAAGCACATAATTTTGATAAATTATGTAAGGTATAAGAAGTATACATTGAAACAATATTTAATGAATTACGAGATTTGTCAGAATTTAATAATAATAGACATAATTTATATCGACTATAAATTATAAGAAGTAAACATTCAAATAATAGTTAAGGAAATGTTTTAGAGGATTTTTACAATATGCAAGTGTGGATTTAAAAAACTAGTAATAAACACATCAAATAAATAAATGAAATACATACTTAAATGATCAAAAAAGAGATCGCCAAACACAAAACAAGTCCAACTCCTTCCAATATCTGATCTGCTGATATGTTTAGCATAAGATCATTCAATTTTTTGCATTGAATGATGCATCACAGTATTTATTATTTTTATTTTTTTTCTGACCCTTAAAATATTCCCATGTGCAAAAAAGGACATTTATAGTTTATGCCGAATAATAACAAATTATGTGCTCGTCACTGGGCAAAACACCCAGTGGAATACAGAAGCCATAAAGCAGACTCTATGATTTGGCTAAAAATAGCAATTAATAAGTTAAACTTTGGCGACAATGATAAACATTTTATGGACATGCATTTGTCACGATTGAGAACGCAAGTGAGAACGTTGTAAACGGCATAAATTATAGAACAGTGAAAAGAGCGTGTAATTAGGATCTCAGAACTCAGATACTAAACAATTTCACACACACACACACACCAACAACAACTACAACAACAACTCGACGAGCTAATTGTTTTGTGGAAAATGTCGCTGCGGGTGTTTGCAGCCAGGCTGGCAGGCACTTTAAAAACCACATAAAACTGACAACATGTGAAAATGCCATAAATTAGACAAAGAGCAGCGAGCAGTGAGCAAGGAAGTCCATAAGATTTAGGAGTCGTGGCCAGGAAGTCAAGACCCATGGGCCATATGGGCACACACCTCGAAGGTGCCCGGTGCCTCGCCCCCTAGAAAATATCAATTGCCTGGCCATAAATCTGAAATTGGGGAACATGTCAAAGGCTGAGACTAATTAATATGAAATTCAGCGTGACTAACTGCGGTAATTACAACACAATTATTATGCTGTAGTCCAAACTCATGGCTCAATTAAGCATCGAGATTTATGGGGAAAAGGAAAATAAAATATTTTTTTTTCTGATTAACGCTGACTTTCAAGCAGTAAAATTTTCATAATTAAGAGGCCAGAGACTTGGACCAGCTCTCAGCTCTCAGCAGAGAAGCCCCAACACTCGTGTCCTTAATCGAGCTAACCAAAAGCCCATTTAAAACAGGTCCAGTTGTGGCCATAAATCCTTTTATGATGCGCCCCTTTTAATGGGCCTTTAAGGAGCCACATCTTGTGCACCAGCACACACATACACACACACACACACACTTTAAGTACATTTAAACCTATGTTAAAACATTAATATTTTTGTATATATTTTTTCGTGCCCTTTGCTGGCTTATTCTTTTCAGTTTGGGCCGAAACCGGTGATTTTCGTGATAGTCATAGCTCTATGACCGCCGTAGCAAATAGTTTGGATAGCACACACTTAAATAACTTTCAAACAACATCAACATCCACATTAACAAATCGAAGTCGGGATCGCAAAGATGGTAAGTACAATCTACACTAAGATTAAATTATAATAAAACGCATATTTTGTCAGAGACTTACATCAAATCTAATTGAGACATAATTCAATTTATTGATGTATTTGAAAGATGTAGACTTATTCATGCTAAGATTAATGTGGGCAGCATTTAAAAATAATTTTACATTAATCCCTAAACTGTATTTGGATTTAACTTTGAGCACTTTAATTAAGTTGGTGAAGTTAAAATTGAGTATATGAATCCAAAATCCGTATTCGAAATTTGTATAGATTAAGTATTAGATCTTTAACTTTCTTGATGAAACTTAGGTTATTGTTAAATTGAGTGAATATGATTTTATTTTAATCAAAAAATCTATATGGGCTCATTAACTGGCTTGATTAAAACAAAGATAAGGTAAACTTGAGTGAAAGTGATTCAATAAATCTGAATTCAAATTCTGTGTAGGCTATAATCTTTTTAATATGAGCTCTTAAACTAAATTGATGAATCTAAAAATAAGTTAAGATTGAGTGAAAATGATACTCAATTAAATCGCCTGATTTTAGGTTAAATTGTATGTGGAAATAAACCTGGAGTTTCTACAAACGTCACAGATTTCAAAGCCTTATGAACAATAGCTATTTGGTATCGATATGGAAGTAATCGTATGATGTGTGTGTGTGTGTGTGTGTGTGTGTATGTGTGTTTGAGTGTGTGTGGCATGGAATAAGCGTGGAAAACTGAACGGAATGAGTGCTCGTTACTGATTTTATACGAGCGCGTACATTTGATAAGAAACATAATTTATAATAATTTTCTAAAGCATGGCCAATGGGCTGGTGAGTGTTGAGCATTGGTGGGGATAAGGGCAGGGGGTGGTTGGGGTTTTGGGTGGTTGCCACTTGGCCTTTGTCGGCGAAAATTTACTCGCTCGCGTCCGTTTAGTTTTCGATTAGACTACTTTGATTTGCGACATGATGACGACGACACCAAAAAAACTGATATTTCATATTCTTTGTATTCGAACCCAGTCGCTTAGTTTATTTGATTAAGTTTCGGTGTAGCGACAACAACAACAGCAACAACAACAAGAACAACAGAGGAAGCATGCCGCCATGATCGATGACATGTTGGGGAACACACATTAACGGGTTGTAAATCTGGTAGCAGCCAAAAAAATAATAAAAAAATAATAAAAAAAATAAACTAGGCTAGATTCAACGGCGGCGGTTCACGTTTGAAGTTGTGCTTTTTTGGCGTTGTGGCCTGGCGTCATTTGAAGGTTGCATGGCAATTAGTAACGCCGCACCCGATCAGGGCGTGAACTGCTCCCCTCCTCCCTGCCCACTGCCAGCTATGGCCTGCTGCTTAGGTAGCCCCAATAAGAGGAAGACTGCTTCAGTTACTTATCAAATGCAAACCACATAAAGATAAAGTAATTGCAACTACAGTCAGAAAAACAATTTAATCGCTGCAAAAGCATGTAACAAGCAGAGGGCAACCTCTCCAACCTCGTAATCAATATATATATACATCATAAAGATTAACCTATTCATGCGAGAAGCACGAAATTCGACACAGATCGATTTCCAAAAGAGTTGTAAAGACGTTTTATTGAACAACTGGAAAATTTTCATTAGGATCGGATAAGAAACACAGATTTTAACAATTCATTTTATGATTAATATCAGCAAGTCTGCACCTGGGTGCACCTGAGTCTCTACTTGACCAACTCTAATTTGCTTAAAATATATATTTCCAGCAGAAAGAAAATATCGAATTAATAGTTCCACTTGCATTTTATCTTTTTATATAGTTTTGTTTGCATATATAAAGTTGTTCTGAAAGGGAACAAATAAATATTGTGTAAGCGAGCATGATGCTTTCCAGAAATTAATTTGTATACACTTATAAATTATTTTTAAAGTGCAAAAATATTCGCTTCCTTATGTTCTTTTTACACCATGTCATATTTAATTCCAAGTGCAGTCAGACTGCCATAAAACGAGGCAAACAGTTGCCGCAACTGCAAAGCATTCTAAAAGCAAACTTATTTTATTGTATTTGTTTCCGTTTTTTTGCAGGTAATCGCAGCGTGAATGAGACCACAATCAAAACGGAGAACATATCAAATTCCGGGCATGATGAGCCGATGACAACCAGCGCCGATGAGCCCAAGAACGATAAGAAGAACAAGAGGCAGAGGCGACAGCGGACACACTTCACATCCCAGCAGCTGCAGGAGCTGGAGCACACGTTCAGCCGTAATCGCTATCCGGATATGTCGACGCGCGAGGAGATTGCCATGTGGACCAATCTGACCGAGGCCAGAGTTCGGGTAAGTGCACACATACACTGCAAATTAATTGCCACATAAAACGTAGTCACAAAGACCTTAAGTTGCTTACACCAAGTGCAAACAACTTGATTTCCTGATGCTCAACATTCTTGATCATAGTCCCACTGAAGCTCAAGCCAAATGTCTACTTTTCATTCTTCATCAGAAAGAAAATCGCATTGAATTTTAGAAATTCGGCATACTTTTTTTTCCAAGATTTTCTCAGATTATTACTCAGAAAGTGTATTTCTAAGAACAAATATTTTCTTTACTCAATTTAAAGGTATATTTCTCTAACGTTTAGAAATAAATCATTTAATTTTCGGCGATTTTTTTCATATTGACCGAGTCAGTAAATTTCATTAATTTTGCATACTACTTCTTAGAAATCCATTTCTTAATAATGGAAAATATTTCTAAGAAATAATAAAACAACATATTTGGATTGTCAATTTGAGGCAAGCCTTTGAAATTTGTATAACATATTCTTCATATATTTAGAAATTCATTGGAAAACAAGTCGGAAGTATTTTAAATCTGCCCTTTTCTTAAGCCAAGTGCAAGCAACACAATTAAAACACGATCTGCTCAAGCGAAAAGAACTTCATCAAGCCCCGGCCAAATGTGTTCCTTTCATTATATATTTTTCGCTCTGTGTACATTTCATATTAATTGCAAAGCCACAAATCGTAAACAGCAGCAGCAGTCGAGGCAGTAGAGGCAGTCGAGGCAGCAGCAGCAAGTGCCACATCAATTTTGTGCGCTGTGTGCAATTATGCGGCAATTACTGCGGCGGTGGCCAAAATGACCGCAATGCAACCGCAGCACGTAGCTGCACACCAGGCACACACACACACACACACAATGCAAAATGGCAGTGGCAACTCGTAAATATATTCGTGGCAAGCAAGCATTTTCCTCTTTTAGGCCGTTTGAATTCGCGCGGCTTAAACGCGCTGCTGACCACAAAAAAAAAAAAATGAAATAACCGAAACCCGTCGCCATTTTGTGTGTGTGTATAAATTTATGTTGCAACGAGGCCTGTGGCTGGTGTTGCAGCATCGCCGGTTTTGGGCTTAACAATGCAGTGGCAAACTTGCCATAAATTGCCGCCTCGATTTGTGGCTAAAAACTTTTGGCGCAGTTTGCAGCGTTTGCAGCGTTTGCCACATTTATGGCCCTCCAGTCGACTCCAGTGTAAACTGGGCCGAGAATCACCGCGGAATAGTTGCAAGCTTATCATCAAATTGCCTCGCAGCTGTTTGAACATGCCACGCCAATTGCCACACAACAGCCATTGACAGTCTCAAGCATTTGTAAGATAGTGGCAAGGTGGTTGGGTAGGTGGGGGGAGTTGTAATTGTTTGTGGTATCTGGGCAACAACAGTTGTAATTGTTTGTAAACGATAGTTGGTAAACAATTGAGCAAAAGTTGTATGCACATAAGTGGCGCCAAGCGGCAAATATGCGTGGCAAATATCTATAGAATATCTATAGACCGATGATGATAGCTAACCAATATCACGCATATCTATTTACTCTGTCCGTCCATCTGTCCGTCAGTCCGTCTGTCAGTTTGTCTGTCAGTCAAGACAGCGACACGACACGGCTACACATAGATAGATATAGATACGATTGTGGGGCACATTATTAGGAGACACGGTCTCGACTTGACGCCCGATTGATCGATGTGAACGATCAGCATTTGATGTGCATTCCAACATATTTTGCACACTCAAAAAAAAATTATAGCTACTTATATCTCTGATACATTCAATTATAGAGAATGTAAGTCAGTGTGTACTTGAAAATCGAGTAGAGTACCTTTTCAAAGTAAAGATTAATTGTAGAGCGCCAAATATTACATAAACTTGTACAACTTTCGATTGTGTAAAATTAAAATTATGTATTTATGCACTAAAAGTCAACAATAGAATTTTCGTTATTAAAACAAAATTAACTTGCTTAATCATGAAAATATGTTGCCAAAAATCAATAATATATTTTACACTACGCAGATGCAATTTTCAGATACGAAAGATAATTTGTTTATTATAAATTTAAATTTATGATTAAACTAGAAAAAATTTGTATCTTGATTGTACAATTTATAAGTTTCTGTACTTTTGCTCTATATATAAAGCTTTTTTTTTAACTGAGAAGAACTTTATTTAAATTGTGTCACAGAAATCTTTGCTATGAACAAAGAAACAAGAAAAACAAATTAGTTTAGGCAAGCTAAAATAATGAATAGCATAATAATGAAACTCTTAACTGGTCAAAATAATTTACGAAGGTTTCCAATTGGCTTTTAGAGTTTGACTACATTTTAATCATATCTTTGGTTTCTTTTGCCCTGAGCGCATTAGACGAGTTTGACATTAATTGAACGAGGAAAGTTAATGATATGGTATCATATAAATGTAATTAGTTGGCGTATAAAAACCATCTGCATGTTTCAACTTTATGCAGATATAAATGTATAAAAGTGTTGACAAATTGCTGGCATACAAAATATATATTTCATGGTTTTTCTATGCAAATTTGTTGGTGGCGCATATGCCAAGAATTTTGTATAGTTCAACACTTGACGACAACTATAAAGAAATTAGCTGCGGCAGAGCAGGGAAACAAGTGTCTGAATGGGGATGGGATGAGAAGGGATGGGGGGTTTGGATGGGATGAAGGGAAATTATGTCAATCTAAACATGTGTTGCGCTCAATGCATAAAATATTGATACAGTTTGTTTTATGGTCCATTATATATATATGATGATGACACAAAAGGTTTGCGTATTGCCGGAGTTTGACTTTTGGGGTGCGAACCCTCCTCCCTTAGACGCCAACCCCTACCCCTATCCCAACTGTATGCACAGATATAAAATGCAAAACAATGCGAGGCAATTTGTCAGCAGCATTGTGGCAAACGAGGGTTGTTTAATGAATTAGGAAACCGCACGAGAATTAATGATCATGATCGTGCTGCTTGCGCTGCTCTTTTTTGAGGGGTTTGGGTTTAGGGCAAAATAACATTTGACTGCAATAATAGCATAGGCAATAAAATTTATCAAATATACAAAAGGATTACAGCTCGCTCAGCTCACAGCTTACAAACATATATACAAATATATATATATATAAATCTGGGTGGGTTTAAAATTGTCAAAAAAAAAAAACAGAAAACAGAAGAGAAGAAAAGTAGAAAAGAGCAGCCCCGTCTGGGCAAACAAAAGCGATGCATTGGCAAAGGGGAGGGATGGGGGCAGAGGCAGTAAATGTTTTTGCTGCTGTTGCTTCTGGGACAGACAGACAGAGAGGGAGACGCCCCTGATGGCAACTAATCTGAGGATTTACATGCGCCGGCAATTATGGCAATATGTTCGCTTGTCTCTGCTAACCGACTGACTTGCTTTTCTTCTATTATTATATTTTTTTTTAAGAACTAAACATTAGTGAATTGCACTCGCCATTTAATTCAATTAACAGTCCGAAACAAAGCTCGTAAAAACATTTGTTGCTCCACACACAAATCGAATGCCCAACTGGGCCGTGTATAAAAAACTGCAATCGAAATCTGAACTCGAACTGCGCTTTCTCTGTCAGTTTTTTTATGGTCAGGTGTTTGCAATGGCCTGGAAACAAACAACAACATTTATCTGTCTATAGGAAAGCCATTTCTGTGGCAGCATAAAAAGGAATGGCCATAAAGGTGCCCACAATATGGCCAGTTAAGAGTTGACAGCAGTACTTGGCTTAGGCAACAGAGAGAACTTCATTTCAGCTAGTAACTAGTTGCTTGAAGTTGATAAATATTTCACAAAAAAAATATTAAAAGTGAAACTATTAAAAATGTGGTGTAATAAAGTGAGGGAGCTTGCAACAATGGCTGAAGGAAATCTATCAGATCAAACAAAATATTAATATTCTTAATTATAGCTAGATAATTCACATTTATACGAAATGCAGATCCATCTTATTTATATATATAGATAACTGCCATAATTTATCGATTATAATAAAATCATATTTACAGAGATACAACCTTTCTATTGATAGGAATATAACCAGTTATATTATTTATTGATTTATTTATTTATTTATTTAATTTAAATCGGATAAGCACCACTGATGTTGGTAATCCAAACGTATTTTTCAATTGAACAAACTGATATCAATAAGTTTAACAAGTATTTAAAATATAATTTCATCATACAAAATTCTATTATATATTTAGAGAGAGGGGGCGGAGTTAAAATTAGCTTTAATATTGTTTATTTTACTAATGGCATTAGCCGAAAGTTTGCACACAAAAATACTTTATAAGCGAGTCAATGGGTTAAAGCGAGAAGCGAATAGTGTCAACAGTTAGATGAGCTTTAAGCTTTAAGCTTTTTATGGGATTAATCGTGTTTACCCAGAGCACATTTAATGCTAGGAAACACTTGCGGTTACAAAGCTGATTATAGCATTAATAAAAAGATTATTTTATCATGATTTTTATACATTTTAAACACTTTGTTGCGTTTTACTTAATTTTTGTGATAGAAAAATGTGCTCTTTCTCTACTTTTTTACAAATAAAAAATCAAAATAAAACACCTCGCAGTGCTCAACAATTTTTAACCATTAATATAACTATATTTTGAGCTATAAAATATAAAATAATGAAGTTCTGAAGAGTTGTTTCGCTCACAGACAATAAGCAATCCCCGAGGCACGAAACGCTTATCAATAAATTGTTTGCAATCAAAAATGTTCACTTCAATTTCAATTTCATGCTAGCCAAGCGCAGTCTCGCCCGGAAGTGAGAAGTAAGAGCCCTTAACAACAACAACAATAGCAATAACAACAACAACAAATTAAGCAAATAAAAAACGTATTTAGCTGCAATTTGTGGCCATCAATCAAAATGGCAGCTCTTCACTCAAAACTCACAGACGCTTAGAAACAAAAAACAGACCCGTAACTTTTGCCAAATGGTCACATTGGGCCACTTCTCCTATACCCGTAATATATATATATTTTTTTTTAACAACTTTACCTGATGAAGCAGCACCAGCATAAAACATAGACCAACGAGGAGATTGAGGAGAGAGGAGAAAGAAGAAAGGAGAAAGGCGTTGTCATTGCCGCTTTCATCAAAACCAATTAGGATTTTCTGCTTGAGTCAGCGGGTGCTCCGGACTCTCTCTCTCTCTCTCTCTCTCTGCTCGTCGAGTGGAAAATTGCGCTGGTTTTTCACACTCACACACACAGAGAGAGTTTTTTGTTGCTATGCAGACACATCAATTTGCCATCATGCAAACTCTGGCAATTTTTTTTAGGTTGGCCCCAAACTTCAACAACTTGCTAAATGATACGTGAAAATGACAGTTGACGAGATCGATGACGTTAGTTTTCCCAACGATGATGATGATGACGATGATGATGGTGCTGAGCAATGTACCTTGACAAATTGACACATTGCTGCTGTTGGGCAATATTGAAATTGGCCAAGACTTTGATTTATGCCCTGTTTGCAGCAACTTAAAGGTTGCCCTTCTCACGCTGACAATATTTAACCAGAGTCACAGCTCAATCTCTGTGTGGCTCATGCGATTTCAATTAACTGAGCGCAACTAATTCGATTAAGGCAATTACCAAGCAAATAAATGCGCATTAAATTGGCCACGAGCCAAACAACAACAATCCAAAAACTTTGACTCACTTGTCAAAGTTCAACTTCGGTTCCCACAAAACAAACAAAACATTTTCAACCAGACAGTTCAGTTTTAGGCCCAGTTTTTGCATACATACGCGTGTCCACATTTAGTTACGGCAGGCAATGTTGCACGAGGCACGAGACAAGGCCCATAAATTGCAACCCCAGTGAATTGTGCGCTGATTTAAGATACAATGTGGCAATGCGGCAACAAGCGCTAAAGCATGAAAGTGCCCAAAATTTGAGCTGGTTTAATTACCTGAACATTGCCACTGCAAATTTACGACTACAACACTGTCTGACTGGGAATCAACTAGCTGGAAAAATGTGGAAATGCCATTTTAGCTACAATTTGTTAAGCGTAACTTGAAATCAGATCTGGGAAAAAACTAATCCAGATGGCGTAGTTATCTTAGGGGTAACTAAGTTAATAATACCGCTCTCTCATGAAGTATAAAGAATCTAGAAATTGCTTTTTAAGCACTTACAATAAATTATAAAATTCTAGATTAATATCATGTATACCATTCAAGATTCCATAACTTCTCAAGTTAGCTCGTCTTTAATACCGACAAATCACACAACACAATTGAATAGATGAATATCAATTATAAAATTCAAGATTCATTTAAGAGATTCAAACTAATGACAAAATTCTTTAAGGTAGTCTCAAAAATCCTACATCATAATTGGTTAAAGCTCTCAAATTATTAAAGCAACTGTAGAATCGCAAGCTGATCAATTCTACTACACAAATTATAATATTCCTATATAAATATAATTTATAAAATTCAATATTCATTTACAAATTTCCAAATATTGCCACGATTCCTTAAGCTAGTCTCCTCAAATTCTCAAAAATTATACAACAAAATTGGTTGAATCCCTGGGACGTGAATTATGAAGGCAGCAGTAATATAGTAAATTGATCAATTCTAGATAAATATCTTTAATTAAAAACTACTTGAAAATATTGCCTTAAAGTCGCTCGCTGCATTTTTCAGCCAACCGAAAGTATCCTCTAAAATAATATAAAAAGAAACTCATCAGAAAAGCCTTTGCCATTTGTGGCGTCTGTTCGAAAATGCCCAAAAACTCAAACTCAAACCCAAACCCAAACCCAAACCTCGAGTGTCAGTATCTTATGTATCTGTATCTGTATTTGTGGCTGAGTATCTGTGTATCTGTGTGCGCTGCGCAAAACTTCAGCAATAAATTACAAAGTTGCCATTTTGTTTTTTATCTACTTGCTTGCTTTTGTTCGCTTTTGTTTTTGTTTTCGCTTTATTTATTTATTTTTTTCTTTTTTGTTGCTTTCTGTACTTTTTGTTTGCAAAATAATTTTGATTTATTTTTTGTGTGCTCCCCAACTTAAATGCTCTGTATACAGTTTCTGTTGGCTCTTTTGTTGTTGTTGTTTTTTTTGGGGTTGGCACGCTGAGTTTATTTATATAAAGCTCTCCATTAAAAAAGAAAGGCAACACCAACAACAACAACAACAAGAGTAACAGCAAAAACAGCAACAACAACAATGGCAGGGAGTATTTATGTATATTTGTATTTATAATTACTGCACATGCGTATTACGTAGCGCCCCCTTTGCGCCAGCCATTGGGGGTATAACTTGGCTGCGGAAATGGGGTTTGCATTTTGGGGGAGTTTTTCGCACACACACACACCAACACACACATACACACACACACATATATATGAACGTTCGCGAGCGACATACGACAGACGGATACATAAATTTTCAAGTTGGCGGCAATATAATAAATTATGCGGCACGGCGACGCAATAAAAGAAAATGGCTGCTGCAAGCTTTTAAAACTTTAACTAACTTGCCACACAGAGCCATGCCCCGCATACACTCCACGAAAAGTGCTGTTGCTATGCGAGACATAATTCCCAACATTTAAGCCAGTTAGTCACAGATTCCCTACCCTAATGATTTGAGTATTTTGCTGAGTGTACTCATCTTTTGCCCTTAAATACTCAAGTGAAAATTGTGTTGCTATGGCAGATAAAATTCCAAACATATTCTACAAAATGTTATAAATCATTCTTAACTTTAATATTTGTTGAAGATTTTCTACCCTAATCATTTAGGGTGTGTACTCATCTACTATATCTTTTACTCTTCCAAGCGTAATGTTTGTAGAATTCCCCAAAGTTTGCTGGTTATACTTAAAAAGATATAAATCATTCCTAGCTTTATTATTAGTCAAACAGTTTTGACTCTAATAATTTAATTTTAAATATAATTAGTATTTTTTTAGTTGAGTGTACTCTTCCTTTAGCTCTTCGCTTCCTTTGCTGAGATATAGTCAGAGAAAAATGTTGTTGCTTGGCCAAATGGAAGGAATTACAAATTTCTACTGCTTACAGCATATTCTTAAATAGAGTTGATTCATTGCTTACTTTAATACTACTCGAACATCTTGGACTCTAGTAATTTGCCTAGAAATGCAGTCAATACTTTTTTTTAGCTAAGTGTAATCTTTCTTAAAGAAAAATGCTTTTGCTCTTGCTTGAAAGAGAGATCAATTTCCCACCATTTACGGCATATTCTTAGGATTTAAGTCAGTCTTTACTTTAATGCTAGTCAAACATTTTCAATTCTAATAAATTTAGTATATTTTTTAACTAAGTGTACTCATGCCTTGACTCTTCCTCTTCCTCTTCTCTATCTGCACAGGTGTGGTTCAAGAACCGACGGGCCAAGTGGCGCAAACGTGAAAGGAACGCAATGAATGCCGCTGTTGCCGCTGCGGATTTCAAGAGTGGATTTGGAACACAATTCATGCAACCGTTTGCCGATGATTCACTGTACTCATCGTATCCGTATAACAACTGGACCAAGGTGCCATCCCCGTTGGGCACCAAACCCTTCCCGTGGCCCGTCAATCCATTGGGCTCGATGGTGACCACTAATCATCATCAGAATTCGGTCAATTGTTTTAATACGGGTGCCAGTGGTGTGGCAGTCAGTATGAATAATTCCATGTTGCCGGGCTCGATGGGCTCGACGCTGACCAATACGAATGTGGGCGTGGCTGGTGCACCATGTCCGTATACGACACCCGCCAATCCGTATATGTATCGCACCGCCGCGGAGCCCTGCATGAGCAGCAGCATGTCCTCGAGCATTGCCACGTTGCGCCTCAAAGCGAAACAACATGCCACAGGCTTCAGTAGCCCCTATTCGGCCCCATCGCCAGTGTCGCGCTCCAATTCGGCCGGTTTGTCCGCCTGTCAATATGGCGTGACGGATGTTGTCTGAGAAAACGCTCTCGGTGCTCTGCTTAATCAGCATCAGCACCACTTGCAACACTTCTCCGGCCAGCACAATGGCAATGCCATGCAACAGCATCAAAACAACAACAACAACAGCAATGGCAACAACCACATGTTGCAGAACAACAACAACAATAATCTGCTGTTGGATCATAGCGACTTGGGTCTGGGCGGAGGCGGTGGCAACGAGGAGGGGGGCGTTTCGGTTGCCCACAATGATGACAACAACAAATCGCCATTGGGCGCCAATGGTTTAATTTCAGCTAGTGCAGCTGGTGGCGCCTCCAGCAACAACGACAACGGCGACGATGTGGATGAGGAGATCATCGATTGAACTAAGTAAATATACATAACAAAAAACTATATATATATATATAAAAAAAAAAGCAAAAAAAAATATATATGTGAGTACATATATAAATATTTAAATCAAGCCTACTTATAACATAAATAATTAACAATTTGTTATTGTAAAACTGCATAAATCAGCAAAAACCAAAAAAAAATAATAATAAAAATAAAAATCCCCTAAAATTAAGCGTATTTAAATTAAATTTTAGATGCAGTAAAAGTGGCAAATAGAAAAAGAAGAAAAAATAAAAAAAAATAACAAAAACGACAGAAAAATACAACTTTTTTGAAGAACAATAATTACATTTATAAAACAAAACAAAAAAAAGATGCATATACCAAAAAAAAAAAAAAGGCCGACTTTGTGTGCAGTTTTAATTAGTTGGTATTAAGCGCCCAGCCAGAAAGGACGAAAAATTAATTACAAATTGATAATTGTGTTTTTAATACATACAAACATATGAATATATATATAGACATATATATATATATATATATTTATATATATTTTGCATTTCTGCGTTGAGATTAAATGCCAATTATGTTCATTTAAATTAAAAAAGAAAAAAAATGCAAGACAAGAAATAATAATAAAAAAAAAAAAACGTATAATGTATAATGTTAAGTGTTTTGTACATATAAAGCAAATATTTAGCTATAGGCAGCAAGCTGTATTTATAAGTAAATAGTTCGCTCTTAACTAATTGAACTAATTAGCTATACTAACTAAATAGCAAAAAAAAAAAATAATAATAATTAAAATGTTCTGCGCAACAAAAACTAAAACAAAACCAAAAAATCTTTACTGTGAGGCGCTTAACTAAAAATTTCAAGCAAGAGGGAAGATCTAACTTGGGCAAGCCGAAGATCACATACACTTGCAGAGCGGATTAATACAATATATAAAAATTACAATGTAAATTTAAGAAGCCAACCGATTGTTCCTATACTGTAGTCCGACTTTTTTGTTACTTATTGTAGTCCGATTCTGACACACATTCTGACTGCCGCAAAAATACGAATAAATTCCAAGTTCTATCCAGATATCACAAATACTGACAGAGTTCACATAGTTGGGTAAATCTATGGACATTTTCCATTTTCGGATTAGACACTTTCCATCACAAAAATTCAAAAACCCTCTGCAAGAGTATATAAAGTAAAACTCAAACTCCGCCTATAGTTTAAAAGCCAATTTTTGTTTTGACAGCACATATACCAAATATTAATATATTTATATATATATAGTACATAAAATATATGTATTGTATAATGAAAACGTATCAAGATCAAAGTCAAAAAATGTATTGTAAACAAAATATATCAAAAACGAAAAACGAAAAACAAAACAAAAACCGTAGCAGTTTCTAAGGAGTTGTCTAGTCGTATAAACAACAACAAATAGATGAACAAAATGAGAAAACTACTAAAAACAACAACACATATAAATATATATATACATATATATGTATATATATGTATTGTACACTTAATATTACTAGTTATAGAAATTAAATCAAACCAAAAACAAAAAAGTGAAACCAAAAAAGAACAATAAAAATTATGAAAAAAAAAACAACAATAATTTTATTTCGCATTTATGAATAATGAGTTATTTTGTTTCTCGAAAAATTAAAAAATCAAGCTGTAATTTATGCGCAGGTTGTTTTTCAGCTGCGGACTCTGGAGACGAATGGAGATCCTTTTTGCCCTGCGGTTTGTTCTGGTGGCAAGTGTTTAATTTAGCAGCTGAATGGAATGGAGAAGGGGGCGGAAACTGGTGGCAGGATGTGCCATCCATCAATTTATTCATTACAATGAAATTATGTCGAATTTATATGCACCCCACCGAACGGCCGACCGACCGACCGACCGACAAAATGACAATCGCCAACCTTCCCCCTTGGCAGAAAATCACCGCACAATAAAAATAATAATAAAAGAACATGCCGCTGCTGATGCTTCTCTTCTTGTTCTATGCAAAATGCCCAATGGGGGGTGGTTCCCGGGTGCAGGGTGCAGGGTGCAGGGTGCTGGGGTACAGGGTGCAGAGGGTTCAGGGATCTGTGCTTAGAGCACAGGCCTGGGCATCAAATTTGAATTTCATATGCTGGGCTGCCGACGCTTCACTTGCCGCTGATTGAAGGCAGGCTAATAAAGTGGCACGAGTCGGCCGAGGGACGAAAGAAACACCTACCCCATCCCCCACCCTCACCCCCACCCCAACCCCTGCTGCGTTAAGCGTCGTTCAATGCACAGGGGGTCGAGGGGGTTGTGGGGGAGATGGGCCAAACCATTTGATTTATTTTATTTTCGCATTTCTGCCCGCTGTTAATGTTTTAATAAGATTGATTTTATTGCGGCCGCTTCTCATTCGAGACGTCTCCACGTCAAAGTCAAAGGGTTAATAAGATTCCAGCCTGCTGTTTAAGAACTTTATTAGTACCCCATTGCCCCCTTGCCCCCTTAAAAAAGTTAACCCCCCGCCCTCGCCCATCAAATTGCAATTGCCATGCACGAAATTAGCAAATAAATTGCTTGAATAAACAGCTAAACGAAGCATGGATAGTAAGGACTAGGGATGAGCAGGGGGCTGGCAAGGATGTGGGGAATGTTTTCGGGGAAATAGATGTAGATGGAGATGTGTGTGGAAAGTATCTGGAAACGTTATCGCATTGCGCCACACAATGAATGACAATGCGTAATTAACTTTTTGGCGTAATTAATGCCAAGTCTAATTATTGTTAATCATGCTCAGCCTGGCACAAGCAGCAATATATATGAGCTTCAATTAAAATCAGCAAACATGCCAACCCACATACATATATACATATATATATATCACACTTATATATGTACATATATATTTACAGCGAATGATATTTGTTTGTGTTCATTTTATGCACATACATAAGTAGATGCTTTCAATGACACTGACTTAAAGTGGCACTCAAAGCTTACAATCAATTTGCTGCATTAATATATATATATAATATTTTAATATATCTCTTTTCAGTTTTATTTACAATCTACCTTTTGCAGACAAATAAGCAAATTTTGATAGCATAAAAAAATATCTGAAATGCATTGCAAATGAAGTTGTCAAGAAAATTAATTAGAATGTAAATGTTATAAATTCGTAGAGCACATAGCAGAGATTTATGAATAAGAAGTATATAGAAGTATAGAAGTATATATATATATAAATATTCAAATTTGACAGAAAAGCAAATAGTATTCCTTATAAACTTTAAGACCAGAACTTGTGTGAGCAAGCTAGAATGCTTTGGACGAGAGAGCTCGATTAGAAGATGCCAAGTCATAAATACTTAAAATTAAATAAAAATATAGATTCCAAATTTAAACTTTGTTAGTTTCGTAGTCTCTGAGATACGCTCCTTTATAAAGATTAAATCGACTCTGCTGTTCATGCTGATCAAGAATATATTTATTTTATGGAGTCGCAGATGCTTTCTTCTGCCTATTACATACTTGTCCACAACTCCATTAAAGTATGGCCTAAAACTATTTGCTCAAATTCTGCAAATTTACATTATGATTAATCTGCTATATCAATTATCAGCTGGTGTCATTGTGACTTGTGTGTGTCTGTATGTGCATATAAATAAGTATGTAAATGTTTGTATGGGAGCATGTGCTTGCAAGCAGCGCCATCTTGAAATATTTCTGAGACAATGGCAAGAGAGACAGACACAGACACGCACAACACAAAAGCAACAATAGCAACAAACACTTTGCTGTCAGCCATTCCATGATTTGCCTGCCAACCTTCCAATTCCGGTTTTGCCCCCTTTCCTCATCCCTTTTTACTCTTCCAGCAGGCAGGCAAAATGGGAGAAGCTGCTTTCAACTTGACTCGACTCGACTCGACTCGTTGTGGCATCATTCTCCATCATTTAGTTTGTCAGTGTGCGGCAGCTTCATCATTATTATTCCTGTTGTTGCATTGTTGTTCTTGTTGTTGTTGTTGTGGTTGTTGTTCTGCTTCTTATTTTCGTATTTTGTTTGTTGTTACATGGAATCTCGTCATCGTCATCGTCATCATGATTTGTTGTTGTATTTTTCCTTTGGGTACTTGTCTTTCTTAACTCATTGCGTTGGCAATAAATCTTTGCCACTCTTATCTTGCCACGCACACAGTTGAAGTTACTGCACCCCAACCCCCCCCCCCCCCCCTCACTTTGTGTTGAATTTAGGCCTGGTTAAATGTATGGCACCTGCTTAGCCAGGCCATTAGAAAGTTGGCTATCTAATGAGTCTTTCGGCTGGCTGACATCGGCAAGCTTGGCCAGCTGCAAATTCAATTTGCAACACTTTTTACGAGCCATTCGGCAAGCAGGCGCAGCTTTAGGGCTCATTAAATGCAAATGAAATATGAGCCAAAAGCCAAAATAATTCGCAACTTATAAACATGGTAAAATAAACAAACCAAACCAAACCAAAAACTCGAAATGCTGCCAGACCCAAAGAATTGCAAAACGGAACCGGACCTCAACTTGATACACACAGAAAAATAAAACCTGAATTTAAATTGAGGTCAAAATCTAGAACCGAGAACTGAAATTTATTCTTTTTTTATTTAATGTCATTTTACAAACAGTTTATTTATACACATTTTTAATTAAATTAAAATAATGTTACCAATTAAATGTTTTTATTGTTCGTTTTGACCGCTGTCTTATAATTAAAATATGTATTTTGCTAGCTCAAGGTCAAATGTTTTTTTTAGGAGCCATTAAAAACACGTATTTTAATTAAATAATATAAAAAAAAGAGAGAATAATTAAACCTAAAACAAGTTTGTTGCCCTTGTAGAGACTTTATTCACAAGTTTGTCGTCTTTTTATTTGTCATGACCGTTTTCAATTGCAAAAATTAAGAATGAATTATGTTGATTGTATGATTCTTGATTTCAGATTGTAGAACTTTTTGACAAAAATCGATCTTATTTCCTACTTGCCATTAACAACTTCACTTTTCAAAACTAAGAATGTTGTTCTTCTTTTCAGATTGTGGAATCTTTATGCGAAGTGAGGCTAAAATCTAAAAATTATTATTATACAATATTATTCATGTAGATAATATTGTTTTTTTTCTTTTTTGTTACATATTTCCTCTTAAAAGTTACAATATTTTTAGGTTGTAGATTCTCCTTTATTAAGATTTTCTGAAAAGAAAGCATCCCCTTTTTCTCTGTGTGTAAGCATATGGTATTGTATATGTTGCCTTTTATGGCACAAAAAGGGCGCACATAAAACACGACACCATTTTGTTGTGCTTATTGTTGTTGCTGTGGTTGTTGTTGTTGTTGTTGGGGCCACTTTATTTATTTCAAATTTACTTTTGGCCATTTTATGTTGGCAAATTTTGACCTAAAAATCATAAAAATTGTAATCAAAATGCAGCAACGCACACAATTTATGGCCGAGAACAGGCAGGCAATATGTGAAAGAGAATGAGAGAGAGAGGGCGCTAGAGTGTGAGAGTGCGAGAGTGAGAGGGGAACAGGTTCTAATAACGTTCTAAGCGCGAGTCCGGCACGAAAGTTGCAGCAGCTAGAAGAAGCTTGAGGCTCAAAGCTTATGGCTTTTTAATGGTGCCGTGTGTCGGTTTTGTGGCAAATAAAATGGCGCACACTAAAAGCATGTTACGAGCCAGCACCAATAAGAGTGAGAGTGAGCGAGAGAGAGAGAGAGAGAGAGAGAGACAGAGAGAGAGAGAGGAACGATATTGAGGTCATGCATGGCTGCCGTTGGGTAAATAAAAAACACATAAAAATTGTTTTACGAGTTACAGCGCCAAATGCTCAAGCAAAAGGACTAAGTCAACGAAAATGCAATAAAAAATCAAAATAAAGAAAGAAAAGCAAACCAACAAAAATTGTGTGGCACAAATAAAATTGACAATATTGTCATGTGAGCGACCAAAAAAAAACGAAAATGAGTTCAATTTTAATTTACTTAAAAGGCATAAATAAAAATCAGCACAAAAGAGCGCAACTCAAACCACTATGCGTGAGTATACCAACTCGTCCCCCTCTACCCTGCACCCCCCCCCCCCTCTCTCTCACTCTCTTTATCTCTCACTCCTGCTGCTGAGTGTGGCGCCAATGATTATTCTGGGTTTTGTCATTTCAATTCGCATTATCCTTTGCACTTATTTTACTACTTTGTGCGCTGCGTTCCCCCAGCTCCGTACTCTCTCTTCATGTCTTACATTTTATACAGATCTAACTGTAACTGTGTGTGTGTGTGTGTGTGTGTGTGACTGCTGGGGTGTGTTTGCGTAATGGCGTGTGTGTGTGTGCAGTAGTCGTCGTCGTCGTCGTCGTCTGCCGAGTAACTCGCATTGTCATTGTGCAAATAAAATATGTCACGACTCGCCCACTCCAACGCAGCGTGCTTTGGCTCTACTCTCTCCCCTCTCATACCCTTCCCACACCCTCTCCCACTCACCCTCTCTCTCTCTCTCTCTCTACCCATTTGCTCCTTAACGTAACTTTAACCGAAACACGCCCCCTTGCTGTATGTGTGTTTGTGTTTGTATTTGTGTGTGTGTCTATCTAACCTTTTGTTGCCCATTGTAGCAGTCATTGTACACCACACACAATGAGCCACACTATATCTATCTATACAGCCTAACTGTTTGTTATTGTTCTCATTGTTGTTGTTGTTGTTACTTTTCCAGTGAAAATCGCTTTTATATAAACTTGAATGAGCGCTGTGAATGTAAATTGGTTAGCCAAAAACTTGCTTATATTTCAGCCTAGACTTTTTTGGATAAGTTATTTTCTTTTCTTGTGCATATAGAAATCGCTGCACAATATTATATTATAAAATCAGTAAACAATCGAAAAGCCTTTAAAAAAATCCCCATATTGATTCATATTTAACATATCTGATTAGATTTTCAAAAACCTAATCACAGTTTGTCTTCCATAATAATGCTACATTCAGAGTATAAAAATCTATTTTTGGCTCATGTTAGAATTATCCCCTTTAAAAAGTGTTAAGGAACTGATCCAAATTTCCCACAGCCAAAAGATACTTGATAATCCTTTTAAAGTTTGTAACGCTATTCTGGCTCGCTTTATATATGAAAATTATACCAAATAAAATCCAAGCTGCGACGGTTCAATACATCTTACCAAAGACATCTATAATACTAAATTTAAAGTTGAGAAAACGATTGTCGCTCCATTTCTATATTAGATTTATCACAAAGTGTTTGTAGAGACAAATCAAGCTTCCCAGAGTCATAAGTTTGTCAAAAGTTATCCTAGAATAATATTACATTTGAAATTGTAAAGGCTATATTTGATCGATTCTGATGTTAAAATCCCCTTAGCCATAAGTTATCCGATTTTCAAAAGGTACTGCTTTTCATTCATTGATTCATGATTCTAGAATAATACTAAATTTAATGTGTGAAATGCGAATTTGCTTAGAAATTCATATTGTAATTGTATACAAATTACGCTTTTTACCCCTTGATTATTTAGTGTTGCTTGTTTTCAATAATCTCAGTCAATTTGACTATTTGTTGCTGAATTGACTTTTGGCATTGTGTGTGTTCTATCTTCATCATTTTGCACTTTGGCAACAAACATTCGCTTCTCACCTTCCATCCACTAAAACTATACACAAAAGCTAAATCCAAATCCAAATCCATGATTTCAGCTACCCAAATCCTTTTCAAAGCTTCAACCAGGTGAAAAATAACAAAATATGTTTTTTTTATTATTCTTTTACATTGTACATTTTTATAAAATGTTTTGTGAAAACTGGCACACACACACAGATACACACACACATGCATAAATGTATGGGGTAGCTGTAAAAGACATTTTCCGCTCCTCTACTTGTAGGTGTTTCTCTGTATGTGTGTGTGTGTGTGTGTGTAGAGTGTAGAGTGCTTTTTGGCTAAATGCGAAATCGATTGGAAAACAATTTCCAATTTTTAAAGAATTATCGCCGCCATATTCGCGCGTGCTACACTAAATCACACATAAGCAACCTCTAAATCTGCTCTACCCGAGACACACACACACTCCAACACACACACACACACACACACACACACACACATAACGACTACAAACCTTTTTTGGCGCAGCTTTTCCGTTTTGGCTCGTTTATTTCTTTTTTATTTTCCCCTGCTGCTCAATGGCAATATTTTCCATTTCATTTTCTGCGCGGTTTGGCTTTGACTACATGGCTGACTGCGTCTCTGTGTCTCTGTGTGTGTGTGTGTGTGTGTGTGTGTGTGCGCGTTATCTTTACCGCAGCATTACATACCTATCCAATACATACATATATCTGAACAGTTGCGTAAAATAAATAGCATCACTCACTTTCAATAAATGTTTTCGAAAGAATCCTTAAATTTACAAGCTTAAGAACTTCATGAATAAGAAAAAAAAAAAAAAAGAAAAAGAAAGAACAATTTTTTTTTTTCAAATTTACACTTTTAATTATGAAAATTAGAAATAAATAAACTATTTCCATAAAGTGCGTGAGTCGTGCTATTGTTTTTTAACGATACTTTTTGGCTCCTTTCTATTCAAATTATAAAAGAATAAATATATAATTGCAATTCCTGTTGCAATATTCACTTTCATTTATAGGGGAACACAATACAATATATTAAAAATGAACATTTGAAAAACGTAAGTTGTGCTATTATTTTTATCACAACTGTATATATATATATATATACTTGTATATATGTCTGTATATCTACTTATATAGAGACAACCCGCAGCCATTTGCTTTTATGTTCCTTTGGGTTATTGCACCTTTGACTTTGAGTTGTTGCGAATTTTCTTTTCTTTTCTTTTTTTTATTTTGTTGCCACAATTTTTTGTTGTCACCCCAGGAGAAACAGCGCCCCCGCACCCGCCCCCGACCCGCCCTTCTAGAAGGATGCTAAGTAAGCATTTCACATGTGCCATTTATTGTTATTTCTTTTTAACCAAGCCGCAAGTATTTCCTAATCAGCTTTTAACTACTATGTAATGGGATTCGTGAGACTCATTCTCTCTCGCTCTCACTCCGTATGTGTGTGTGTGTGTGTGTGGGGCAGGCAAAGGTGCCAAATCGTAATTTACATGGATTTCGTTGAGATACCCAACGAATTGAATTGAAAGCCAGAGCAAAGCTACCGCTAATGTATTGTAGATTATGCCAAATCCCGCACACAGTTTTTATGCCGCACGCATGTGCATTAACATCTCGATTTGATGCCGTTACTTCACCAGCTACTCCAGATACCCACTCACTTCCACTTCCTGTCCCACTTCCAATCACTCCCTAGACATTGCTGCTGCTCGGACTACTCCTCGGGCTGAATCGCACATATCTGCTCTGTCGATTGTCTTGCTGACGCTTTCTCAGACACAGGCGCACCTCAAATGCCAGATTGAGGACGATGAGGAAGACCATGATGAGCCCGATAATGGCGCCAAAGATGAGTAGGAACCAGTGAAAGTAACAAGACATGGTCACGGGTCGACTCAACCAACCCGTCCAGCTGCCAGTGCACTCCTCGGCGATGCAACGGCCCATTGTATTCCGTATGCAGCCTTTGGCACAACAACCATTGGCACTCATCGATCCGCAGGTGGTGCTGGTGGTGTTGGTGGTTGCCAACTCGGTGCAATCCTCTCCGAGCACTGGATTCACCAGCTGACCCAGCAAAACGGCAACCAACAGAAAGCTCAACATTATGCCACAACCCAAACTTGCCACAGTTGCTCAGCTTGCTGTGCGGCTCTTCTATTTGTGGATTCCACTCGTCGCGATTTTGGTTTAGCTGCAGTTCGGTTTTTGACTCTACTCAATCATCTTCCAATTTTGAAAGTCAGTTGAAAGAAAAACAAATTCCAAATGCGTGTTTGTGAAAAAATAATACTAATAAAGTAATACAATAATACAGTCAACGCCAGCTGACAACAGATATCAAATTTTGAATGTTCTAGTAGAGAATGGTTTTGAATCCAAGCAGGCTGGCGGAGAATACACTCGAAACTAACTCAACTTGAATTTGAGAAATTGCAGCTTCTAAATAAATAACAGAGTTAAGCTGTTAGAATCTTCTTTTCAGACATGCATTTCTTAATCATAGATAATATAGTTGAAAAATATAAGTAAGCACCAATTTTTTTGTCAGTTTGTCGATTTAGGGCAAGCCTTTCTCATTTTTAGATATATTTAAATAATTTTTTATTTGTTTTTTATTATTTCCAAAAACTGATAAACTGATAAACTGTTTTACATTCGCACAACAGAGGCAGGTATTGATAAAATGACACTTGATCTGCATATGGTAAACGAGAACTGACTAAATCAACTCGACTTTTGATGCTAATCAGAAATATAAATTCTTTCCGAAATTAGAGCTGATTTCTGCTACATAAATGTACACAACTTCATTATACACTTGAATGCTTAAAAAGATTTTCACTTTGCGATTGCTGGGACTGTGAAATAGTGTCCGAGATAAAGAAATATAATTGTCATATGCCATATTGTTAGTCAATGTCAGTATCAGTGGAACTCGTGATTGTTGGCTGCATAATCTTTCGATCAAGATATTATGTACACACGTAGGGAATGAAATAAATAATAATAAATAATCAAATAAATAATACGAAATAATTTAAATATGAATAAATCATTATAAATATCAATTGTTCACTTAAAAAAAAAAAAACATTAGTAAAATTCCACATTCAACACTTTTGTTTTCGACCAGATAAAGATAAAGATTTCTGAGAATGTTGTAAAAACATTTATAGGCATGTGGCTTGGTCAATGTTTATCAAACTCGTGATTGGTGAATAAATTATCTTTCGATGAAGAATTTATGTACCTATCACTTAGAATGAAATAAACAATAATAATTAAATAAATAATTAAAAGGAAATAATTTAAAATGTCATATTTCATAACTCATAACTGGTACATGTGATTATTGAGATTCTCTTGTTGAATTCTAAATGAAATCTGGGTGTATCTGGATGGTCCTCTCGGACCAAGGATACGGGACACCCGGCATAAACAGGGCAGCAAACTCTTGAATTTGACAACAAGTACAACCACTGCAAGTGGTTGCCAACCCGAGAGGGCGCCAGCAGTAATTGTTGGCGGCCAGAGTATCCCCACTGCTCAAAACTAGCATTAAAAAAACAGCCCAAAAATCTGTTTAACTATGCGATCAGAATACATTGCCACAGATCGAGTGTTTGGGTTATACTAAAGCAGTGATCTGGCGATACTCGTGTTTCTATCGCCTGTTTTAGATGTGAATTGTGCAAGAAGTGGTCCTTTGAGACTTTAATTACTCTTTTCTGCGTGGTATACACAAACATATAAAAATAAATACAAATGATAGACTAGAAAGCACCCTGTGCAAGCCCACTTGCCATTTTTTGGAGTTTTTTATTTATTGTAACAAAGTTAATGAGATAAAATTAAAAGTGAATACTTAAATTAAAATTTTAAATGAAATGAAAAGTGATGGATTACATGATAAATACTTAACCGAGAAAATTAATTATCGAATAACATCTGTGCTAATTAGTCGCGAGTCGAATATATTTAAGAAAAAGCGATTATAAAAAATTACAGCTTTATTTATTTCGTGTATATAAATAGTTCCCTTTTTAAAAGAGCAGCACAGAAAGATATTAATAAATTAATAGCAAATAATTAATTACGCCTGAAATTGGCGCTAAGTTCATCAGTTTAGAATTCACTATTCGTCATCTATATTTTTGTTGTTGACCCAATTTAAATATTTACAGGGTATTTACGTATGAAATCACAATTTCACAACGCTTAGCTAAATAAGCGATACAAGTCCGGATATAATAGAAATAAGTACACAGTGCACTATATGAAAACCAAATCAACATTACAAAGTGATTTTAATGTAATTCGTGATTTCGCATAATTATGAAGTAAATAATTAAAATGTATATGTGTGTGTGTGTGTGAGTGTGTATCTGTGTGTATGCTTAAAACCAAAATGAAAACATGAAAATTTAATGCAGCCCAAACTGTCGATTCTCATGTTTGAGTCTCTGTATCTATGCCAGGTGCAATCAGCAATTATAGCTGGGACTTATGGTTTGTTATCCATGTGCAACATGCCACAACACCCCCACAACCACACAACCCCCCGCCTGTAAATAACTAATACGTAAATATTAGCAAATGGCCGAAATGTAGCGATACTCACCCCAAATTTGTGAAACATATAAATTTGAGTCACATATGCAAGCTTTGTTGCTGTTATATTTGTAATAAGCAATCAATTATTATTATTGAATTTAGGCGCGGTCTGTGGCAGGTGTGGCAGGTGTCTGTTGGGGCAATCGCTTGGTCAGCGCTACTAATGCGCCTAATGAGAATTTAAGCATTTGCACCACTTGCCTCTGCCTGGCAAATGCCTGGATTTGTTAAGCACACACACTCATAACACACACCTCTCTTCTCAGCACACCCACTAGGTACAGTTGCGTAAATATGTACACACACACTCACACACACACACACACACACAGACACATTTGAGTTCCTCATTTAGCATCGGTTTTTGGTTTCAAATTTAACTCGAAAAGTATATAAATCGGCGTTGTATTGGCTTTTGCCTTAATGTGTTGGCGCAGTAGAGATTAAACCAGTACAGTTGAGTAGAATCAATATATATCTTTCACATATATATTGTTTAATATTGCAATAACAATATTTTTGTTATTAAACAACAAACTGTGTCGTTATCAAAAATTTTGTTTGAAACAAATTGAAATAAAGCAGATATTGTTATTGTTATTATTCTTTCATGTTTTATATTTATTCAAAGCTATATTTAATTGTTCTTTGTATACCCAGAACCACAAAAAGTGCAAAAGTATGTCACAAACAAAAGGAAACATATCATTCCTTATAAAGTTTATGCATTCCTAACTAGCATCCTCAGACGAGTCGATTTAGTCCTGTCGATCTGAGAGACTATAAGACCAGCAAGTATTTGATAATTGGTGCATGGTGTCTCCTATTCGAAATCTCTCGACTAGCGCGTACTAACTTGTAATTTTTCTATTTTATCTTAAGAACAAGGATCATTAATATACAGTGCAGATTAGAATAGACACTCGCGAAATATAGAAAATATACAACACGATTCTCTTATGACAAAAACTAATTTCAAAACATGTATTCAAGGAAATATACCTAAAATCATATTTATGAAATCTACAATAATTATTTATTATTAATTAGCTATATTATATGAAGCAGAAATACTCCTTAATCTAGAAAAGAGTTACGATCAGTTGCTGTTTGTCACTGGCTTGGGCATAGCTAAACCGAAATCGGAATCTGAGCTGCGTTAATGATAATTTAATTATTGCCCAGCCATTTGGGGGGCTTAGACGCCTTAGGACATTTTGCACATGGCTGTGGCGCAATAATTGCAGCAAATCTGCTTTGGGGTCAGTTAGCCAGTGCTGTGGATAGTTATGTGTGGCAGTGGGGTGTATGCCGGTGGGGGCGGCAGGTGCAACCCAAAGGGTGTGCTTATTAACTGTTAATTGTGCAAATGAGCGTCGGCTTTGCAATCCTCGATGGAGACAGACAGAGACAGAGACAGAGCAAAAGTGAGAGAAGGAGAGAATAGCTGAAGTGAATTGGCAATAAAAATTCGGAATAAAACATATGTACACTTGAAAAAACAAAACGAGAAATTTGGTGTTCAGATCAAGCACATGAGAATATAATAAATAAATAAAAATAAGCGAGATTTAGTTTAAAACTGTATTTTTTACATATATGTATATTTTTTATATAAAATGAGTATTGTGTTATGTTAAATACTCAACTTAAAAAATGTACAACAAATATTTTATAGCTCATAATCTGAATTGAGCAAGATATTTATTACAATTACGCACCAAGATTCCAACTTAATTAAAGAATTTAAAAATTTAAATGAACAACCAGAAATTTGAGTACAAAAATTCTTGCAATATATAATTTGTACTTGATTGGAATTTTCTATAATTCTTATACAAAGTTTGATTGATACTTATTTTAGTTATTATTTTTCTTTTTTTTTTTTAGTGTAATTAGCTTAATTCATGGGTTAGGTTCCTGTCACTTTGCGTACACTTCAATAAATATGCAAAAACGTAATTTTCAATTGCCATACATTTTCAAGATAACGCTAAAAATGCGCTCTGACAGTTTTTGCGATATGAACTGGCACAGTACGCCAACAACAACAAAAGCCAATAAATAAAATATTTAAAAAAAAAAAAACATTAAAAAAAGCACACACACAAAATGTGTCAGAGAAATGTCGCAATGCGATCCGCCAGATGCCGATGCGGATATGGATATGGATATGGGATATATGAGTTTTATACCGAAATCCATATTGAAAATTGATTTAAATTTTTAATAGGCATTTTTGTTGATGTTGCTGTTGTTTTTGCCTGTTGCAAGAGCAACACGCTTTGATAAAAACGCAATGCACGCAACAATCGAAGGCTTATGGAAGGAAAGATATAAAGCGACGGGGCTCTAGTTAAATATGGAAACAATAACGAAATATGCCAAAATGAAATCGGACAGACGCCACTCTTGCAAGGGCCACATGTGCAATATATGAATATATAGACTATATATGTATATATATATGTGCAATATATATTCCCCATAGCTCGTGGCTGTCAAATCATATTTTAATCTGCTTTGATTGCTGACTTTTGTGCAAGGGATTTGTGCAACTGCAACTGTTGCAACATCAGCGACGGCCACAATGGAAAAATTGCATTTTATTTTATTTATGCAAAAAAATAAAGAAACACGGCAAATAGTTGTGTGTGTGTGTCTCCATGTGTGTGTGTGTGTCTC